CCCCAAAACCCCAAAACCCCAAAACCCCAAAACCCCACATCATTACTTAAGTATTGAAACAGAGAATTATAATAAATTTCTACTAGAATGAATACTAATTCACCTACAATTCAATTTTGGGATGATTCTTCCTGAACTGTCTCTGAAGAGTACAGTAAGTCTCCTCCAAAAAATAGCGTTTATCATTGGAAAGGGAATGCGAATGCCCTCGGAGATGTCACTGGAAAGTCCAAAAGCTCATCAACAATTTTGAAACAGCCTATCCTAGCTAAAGACTCTTGCTTCCAAGAATCAAAGGGAAAAATTATGAGAAGAAGCCTTGAATTATCAAAGCCTACTTTTATACTCCCCCAAAATTCAAAGACTCGTGGGTCTTGCTACAAAGTCATGAAAAGACTCAGAAAGTCTTCATCATCAGATGTACTACACTTTCCTAGGAACTCTGAAGAAATCACACCTTTGAATTGGAAAGAAAAATGTGAGGAGAGCCAAATGATTCCTTCATCAAGAATCCTCCTCCTGCTTCACAAGAAGTCTTAATTCTTCACGAAGCTATCAAAGAGGAAGTGGTTATTCAGCCAATAATCTTAATTTCTCTAAAAATACAAATTAACTCAATATTCGTATCTTTTCCCTTGGCAACTTCATAGATGCTTCCAAGTTGAATTAAACATAACATTGTACTAAATTCAGTTTGAAACACCTCTATAGTTTATATCGAAGTCATTGCTTTCAAACTTATACCTTTCCATTTTTATCAGAATTTCTTAATTCTTCCCTAATTCCTATAAACCAGAATTTCTTATTGAGCTTCAGTAGTATGGCATGGTCAAGTTATTTATTGCATACATCTAGAGGCCGAGCCTCGTTCTATTATTCCCATCCTAAGATACTATATTGTACTATTGAGACCGAGAGACGCTCTGCTACATACTTTTATTAATTACCTGGTGGCGAAGTATTCAAATTAATTATCCACAATTCCTATTTCTAAAAACGTTGAAGTGACGAAAAGCTGGTTTAACTAAAATATTGGAGATAAAATAGAAACGTTTGTAGCAACTTCTGAGAGAGAAAACTTCTTAAAAGTTTTAAAAAGAGTTTATCATAACAAATTGAAGAAATTCGTTTAGAGAAATAGGGATTGTCAACCAATGTGGTTAAAGTGGGACCCAATACCGTATGAGTATATACACTTGTTTGGAATGTTAAGTCTCTTGAAGATAAGCATAAGGCAGTGCATCTAATGTGAAGGAGTTTTAATACTTTTTTCAAACTCTTACCAATTGCTTTTCTATAATATTTCATGCCTATTATTTAATTAGAAATCAATTAAGAAGGGTAAATTTTCATATCAACAAAAACTTATTTATTAACTTGAAACCCAGGATTTTTGCCCAAAAAGAAATAAAACTGAGCAACTGACTGCTTCCAAGGGTCTAATAGTAAAAGGTACAATTTTCTATTAAGATAGGCTCAATTTTAACCTGAAAAATTCAGAGGCTGATTCTTACACAAAATAGCCAAAAAATTATGACAAACTCTTCAAGATAACACGGTTATTTTGAAATTCCATCCCCAACGATGGCCTCGATATTTAAGTCAATTTCTTTCAAGAGATCTTAAAGGGAAAGTTTTGAAATTTCTTTGAAATTGTTGAACTAAGGGTCTTTTACTATAAGCTAAATTAACTGCCCTCTTAATTTTGAACTTTCTTGGTAAACCAGGATATATTAAATTTGAACAATCTGATCAATTCTTTATGGAAGAGGATCATTTAATTCCAGAAAACTCCTATGAACATTATTAATTATTATTTGAATTGGCTAGGTATTATACTACAAGAGCCTCCTCCGGTAATTTAGGGATATCAATAATAGCACTCTAATGTAAAACTTTGGGCTATAAGTTAAGAAGCGGAATCAAATTAGGACATCGCCTCTGACTTGGACACTTATCCTATATAATTAACTTAATTTTTCACAATAATAATAAACTTTTTGAATAGATCTAGGGATTCAAAAGGCTAACAGTTTCAATTTGACATGCTAGAAAAGGGGTTTTGGGGTTTTGGGGTTTTGGGG